CTCACCAAGGCTGACCTGGCTATGGCCACTTCTGAGTGCCCAATTTGCCAGCATCAGAGACCAACACTGAGCCCTCAATATGGCACCATTCCTCGGGGTGATCAGCCAGCTACCTGGTGGCAGGTTGATTATATTGGACCTCTTTCATCATGGAAAGGGCAGAGATTTGTCCTCACTGGAATATTTACTCCGGATATGGGTTTGCCTATCCTGCATGTAATGCTTTGGTCAAGACTACCATCTGTGGACTCACGGAATGCTTTATCCAGCATCATGATATTCCACACAGCATTGCATCTGACCAAGGCACTCATTTTATGGCCAAAGAAGTGTGAGAGTGGGCTTGTGCTCAAGGAATTCACTGTTCTTTCCATGTTCTCCATCATCCTGAAGCAGCTGGATTGATAGAACAGTGGAATGGCCTTTTGAAGTCACAATTACAACCCCAACTAGGTGACAATATTTGCAGGGCTGAGGCAAAGTTCTCCAGAAGACTGTGTATGCTTTGAATCAGCATTCGATATATGGTACTGTTTCTCCCATAGTAAGGATTCACAGGTACAGGAATCAAGGGGTGGAAGTGAAAGTGGCACCACTCACCATCACCCCTAGTGATCCACTAGCAAAAGCTCTGCTTCCTGTTCCCACGACATTACATTCTGCTGGCCTAGAGGTCTTAGTTCCAGAGGGAGAAATGCTGCCACCAGGAGACACAACAGTGATTCCATTAAACTAGAAGTTAAGATTGCCACCTGGACACTTTGGGCTCCTCCTACCTTTAAATCAATAGGCTAAGAAGGGAGTTACAGTGTTGGCTGGGGTGATTGACGCAGACTAACAAGATGAAATCGGTCTACTACTCTATAGCGGAGGTCAAGAAGAACACATATGGAACACAGGAGATCCATTAGGGTGTCTCTTAGTATTACCATCCCTGTGATTAAGGTCAATGAGAAACTACAACAGCCCAATCCAGGCAGGGCTACAAATGGTCCAGACTCTTCAGGAATGAAAGTTTGGGTCACTCCACCAAGAAAAAAACCACAACCTGCTGAGGTGCTTGCTGCAGGCAAAAGGAATACAAAATGGGTAGTAGAAAAAGGTAGTCACATCATTACCAGCTATGATCACATGACCAGCTGCAGAAATGAGTACTGTAACTGTCATGAGTATTTCCTCCTTTAGTTAAAAACATGTATGTGCATATATACACTTGCTCTAAGAAAATATCTTTATTTAATTTCCTTTTTCTCTGTCATGTGACATAAGATTTAATGATTTCACATCAGCATTTAAGTATTGTTAACTTTATGTAATAGTATTTGGGTTGGGGATTGGTGCATTTCCGGCTGTAGGAAGGATAGTTGTATTATGTTAGGCATAATTATGACTAATTATTGTCTTTATTTGAAGGTTATGTATGATCTCAGGAGCTGTGTATGGGTTCAAATTGATAAGGGGCGGGCTTGTGATGGTTAATACAGAGTGTCAACTTGATTGGATTGAGGAGATACAGAGTATTGATCCTGGGTGTGTCTGTGTGGGTGTTGCCCAAAACAGATTAAACATTTGAGTCAGTGCGTTGGGGAAGGCAGATTCAACCTTAATCTGATGGGCACAATCTAATCAGCTTCCAGTGAATATAAAGCAGGCAGAAAAGTGTGAAAAGGAGAGAGGGGCCTAGCCTCCCAGCCTTCATCTCTCTCCCATGCTGGATGCTTCCTGCCCTCGAACATCCTCCAATTTCTTTGGTTTTGGGACTCGGACTTGCTCTCCTTGCTCCTCAGCTTACAGATAGCCTATTGTGGGACCTTGTGATCAGGTAAGTTAATACTTAATAACTTAATAAGCTCCCCTTTATATATATACACACATGCACATATATGTGTGTATATATATTACATACACATATCATATATATATTAGTTTTGTTCTTCTAAGAGAACCCTAATACTCTTACCCTCTAGTTTTCACTGTCACCAAACCAGCAGTCAGCTCATCTGGGGACTTGTCAGATAGGCACATTCTCAGGCCCTACCCCAGACAAATGGATCAGAGACTCTGGGGGTGACCCCCAGGTGTTTCTGTGTTTGAATGAGCCCTCTTCAAAGATCATTCTCATGTCAAAGCAACAAATACTCATTAGCTTACCGAGTTAAATCTAAAAGTGCCTTTTGCCCTTTAAGGAAACAGAGGCCCAGAGGCCACAGGAGAAGTTGACTGAGTAACCGCAACCAGAACTCAGGTCTCCCACCCCCAATGGCCAATCTCCTTCTTTTCTGATGATTTAATCCCTAAATCCGATAGGAAGCCCCAAGTATTACCAGCCCAAAGTGCAAACACTTGCTCTCAAAGAGCAGAAAAAGAACCTACTCTTTGAAAATAAGGACCACCAATAAAAACTAATATCTGATCAAAATCATTCCATAAACAAGCAGTAATTTCCCAAACCTTTAATACATTTCCAAGTTATATTTCCTAGTTATATCTTATATTTATAAAAATTTCTGGTAGAGGGGTGACTGGGTAGAAATATAATAATTGACTAGAATAATATTTGGAAGAATATACACTTAAAGACACATTCATAGTGGTTCCCCTCCTTAGCAGATTATGGATAACCTTTATTTTTTTTCTTTGTATTTTCCTGAATTGTTCTCAATAGCTAAATATTGCTTTTGGAATCAGGGGAAAAGTTAAAATTGTTTTTTTGAAATATTATATCCATATCACTCAACATGAAAGTTTATTTTGTAATTCTGTTTCTTTCCATACATCAGGATAGTGTGTGTATAGTAATTATTTATATCATGCCATATGTTACAATGAAGATGAAATTTGGTAAATATATTCCTTCCAGCTGGCACTAAGAAGAGGTTAAATGCATTCCTAGGTTCAGAGCACTATGAATTAAGACAAGCTAACTGCGAAGCTAAAGGAAAAATTAATCCCAGTATTCAGAGCTATGGAAGCATCCTTTTGAAATACGTTTATATGACACACGGCTCCTTATTTCCATCCCCCTGATATTTAACCCCTGGCACAAAGCAGAATGTTCAGCAATTCCTGGCAAAGTCTTAGGAGTTCAGGGGATAAAATGCATGGGAGAAGATGAGAGACATAAGAAACAAAAGGATCCTGCTTTCACATAAAATTATGTCCCTGTAGGCAATGAGACATCCAAAATTACTGGCAAATTTCATTGGCCACAGTAACCTTAAATTTTTTTTTTTCTTTCTCAAGAAACGTCTACGGACTTCAAAAACATCTATGTTGGGGATCTTATTCTGCATATCAAAAGTAAATGATGAAAATGAACTCATTTAAATAAACATTTCTGCCAAAAAAGCATTGTTGTAATGTTTCACTTGATAAGATGAAATTTATTGCTTCAAAGAAAAACTAATCTTGTTTTACTGAAACTCTCAGCAATATAAATTTAGTGAATGTTAACTGAAATTCCTTAAAGAAAATTGGAAGTTAAGATCTGCTGGCATCAATATAAAAAGGAAACACCGGTGGCCTCTCTCCTTCATCACAATACCCCCTAACAGCTGACATTTCTAGAACTTGCAGATGCTTTCAGGAAAGGACGAGTTATTGGAAATAGACTCTCTCTCCACATATAGCTATAGTTTATAGTGCATAAGATCACATTTACACGACAACTTAGCTTAAAAGTGGTACGGTATCAAAGAACTCAGAATTCATCATCTAGGCTTTCCCTATTTAGCATGAAAGATTTGGCTTGCAAAGGTTTCTCTCTCAAGAGTCTCACCAAATTTCCCTCAGCCCTCTACTTTCCTTCACAGAGTAGTCCCACCCATTGCAAAAGTAATAAATTAAGAATAAAGAATATGCACCTTACAGAAAGTTTCCCACCAACATCCCAGCTCCCACTCCATGTAATTACCTATTTGCCTATGAAAATTGATCTATAAGAGCCGTGTTGTCAACACATTAAACTAAACCTAACAGTCTCCTTTAAGTCTTACACTTTTTAACAGACCATACACACACACAAACTTGTAGCTCATTCTCTAACTCCATGTTGATACTTACAAGTCCAGTGCTTCCATCTCTCACCCACTCTGGAGAGAAAAGAGTCCCGTGGTAGATTTTACCTAATCTCGATTATCTCTGCAGTTTTTCTTTGGGGCTGTTAAAGATATTGATCAGAACTCACCTCCTAAGCATTGATAATTCCAAGTCCATGAGACCCCAAATAGCCTCGGTTTGTAACATAGAAACGCTACTGGTCTCAACAAGAGAGAAAGAAAATAACATTCCCACTCCGTCAAATTAAGGGGAAAAAATGACATACAGCAGCTTTCATTCTGAACAAAATTAAATTTTCTGGGTCACTTTCCCTGGTCTCACTGGACCACTTTTTACGCAGCCTGCCGGTGACTGTAAACACGGTCTCTCCACTCCTCACGCAATCAGTTCAGTTGTCATTCTCTCCTAGCGAATAGCCACCGCTTCCTTTGCTAGCGCAGTTCCCAAACAACAGACCTCCCCACCCGCCCCTGCCCTCCACACCTCACCACGGAGACTCGCCTTCTTTTCTTCCAGACCACAAATGGGCGAGCTCGTTCACAGAAAAAGTTAATGAACGCCTGATTTAGAGGCAAAGCTGTCCTACCTGCGATCACAACATCGGAAGGCTGGAAGTACCTAAAAGCGCCATCCTCTGCACCCTCGTCCCCGTCGGTGTGCGCTTCACACCCAGAAACCCAGGAACATGATTTATATGCAGACCTGCACCCATCCCACACAAGTCCACACGCCAGCTTGCCTAACCACTTATGTAAGCTCGTGCTTCCACAGTCCCAAACTGCAGACACACACACACGGGCACCTGTCACGCATCTGAAATGGACAAGCACCCACACCCAGGAGATGAAATCAACACATACGGGGTGGGGAGGGGGGATACTGTTTTAAACCATGTTTTCCCCCGTTTGTTTCTTGCCCATTTTTGTCTCAACTACAATTACCTTAGCAACCAAAGAATTGCCTTGACTCTCCGGCTCCTGAATTTCTCCTAAAGCCAACCTTGCGCCAGGTTCATGATAAAGCTGGAGAAGCCCAGGGAACCGGGGACCGGCAGCCTCTTGGGGGCGGAGGGGAAGCCTAGTCCGTCCCCGCGCCGCTCCCCACAGCCTCGCCTCCTCTTTCCGAGTTTCCGTGGTGGCGAGCGCAGGGGCTCAGCGAGCGGAGAGCGAAGCCCCGGGCCCGCGAGGAGGACGCGCGGCGGGTCGCATGGTGCCAGAACGCGGGGCGCTCGGGGTGTCTCCGGCGCACTCCGGGCTGGCCTGGCTCTCCGCTCTCCCGGGCGCTCGCCGCTCGCCCACCCGCACCGGGCCAGCAAATGGTGCGCGGAGGTCGGCCCGTCCCCTCGGCGCCCGCCGTCTCTCGCGGCTGTGGAAGCCCGGCGCCCGGGCGGAGCTCTCGCCGCCGAGCAGGGCCGAGCGCGAGGAGCTGCCCCAACTCGCGAAGCCGTTTAGCTCCGAGGCCCGCGAGCTGCTGCAGCAGCGCCCGCTGTCGGATGCCGAGCGGAGCTGCAGCCCCGTGCCCCGCGCACCTGGGCGCCGGCACCTGGGCCCGGACCGCGTGGTGCAGGGAGGGGCCGGCGGGCGGGGACCAGCACCTGTGCGCGTCCCGAGGGCGCCGCCGCCGGGCTCACCTGTTCCCAGCGCCGCGGAAGGCGCAGACCGTGATTTGCCCGAGGAGGAGAAAACCGAGAAATTCCTCCTCCTCCAGAAGCCGCGAGAAAACCGGGAGACTGCCTCGACCGGGCGGAGGCTCCTTTCGTCAATTCCAGACTGACCCCGTCTGGAAACTTCAGTGGCGTTAAGGTTCTCTTAGGGATTCCCGGCCCGGGGTGAGGTGCCCCGTGTCTTCCGACTCCCTCACTGACGTGTTGCTGGCGCCCTCTAAACTAAAACGGGACACCGCGATCGTCGGTGATATTGTTCCTGAGCTCATCATTTTTATTTATTCAACATGCACACCACGCGCTGCATTGGGAGTGTTATAAGATGATTCCTATCTGGAACACTACAAAAGTGCTTTCGAGAAAATTGACTCTCAAATATTCTTGAGGGAAGGAGAAAAAAGTTGACAGAAAATGAGAACGTGACTTGAACTGATGCCTTTCTTTAACGTGGGAGATTTGAAATGTGATGTTTATTTACAGATTCAGGAAGCTGCAGGTGGACATAGGACAAGATCATTAGTGCTGGATGTAACCATGGGATTTATGTGCAATATCAATGCTATCAATATCAAGAATAAATTCGAGATTATTGAATTGTAGTATGTCACCAGAAAAGGGGGAAAAAGCTTAAAATACCTAAATGCTTCTAAGGATGGATGACCTGGACTCTTCATTCACATGAGTCCAAAAGTTAAAGAGTAAAGTCTCCTTCCCAAAATGTATCTTTTCCCACCATTCTACATTGATTAATGAATATAGTCATTCTTTTATTCAATAAACAAATAGCACCTGCTCAGTGTTAGACCCTCTGCTAGCATTAGAAATGGAGAAAGGAAGCAGTCTCTGCCCTGAAGCCTTCAGGTCGAATGGGACAGTCCACAAGCAGATATGTGTGCTATGGTAGGCTTAGCCCACAAGAGGAGCCACAGAAACCTGGGGGAAAACATGCAACCAAGAGAAGCCATCCCCCGCCTTGTGAATAAAATAGAATTGTTAACAGATGTCCCAGTTATTTATTAAAGTTGAAATAAAAAATATTTCCTTCCCTAGGCTCAATACTTGGCTCATGCAGGTTGTGGAGCTGGCTGCAGCTGTTTGTCACAGTTAAATAACGGGCTGTGCATGGAAAGAAAGGTGATGACTGGGTGAACTTCTGCTTTGAGGAGCTCTGCATTTTTTATTATTTTCTTGGAGACGTAGTTTCACTCTTGTGGAGTACAGTGGCTCAATCTCGGCTCACTGTAACCTCTGCCTCTGGGGTTCAAGTGATTGTCCTGCCTTAGCCTCTCAAGTAGCTGGGATTACAGGTGCCCACCAGCTCATGTTTTGGTGTTTTTAGTAGAGGTGGGGTTTCATCATTTTGGACAGACTGGTCTCAAACTCCTGACCTCAGGTGATTCACCCGCCTTGGCCTCCCAAAGTGTTGGGATTACAGGTGTGAGACACAGTGCCCAGCTGTAGCTCTGCATTTCTGAGGCTAGCAGCTCCTTGAGGGCCAGACAGAGCATGAAGGAATAACACTGTGGAAGTATGAACAGCAGGCTCCAGGCTCGTTAGAAGAAAGCCTTACTGTGTACTTGTCTTTTAAAAAACACATCTGTGAAATCAGATATTTATAGAAATTAGATATATATTTTAACATTGATACATTTTGTGTATTATATGGGATTCCTGATATAGCAACATAGTATGATTTCTTATACATAGAATATCTGATTTCATATATATGTGTATATATGTGGGGGGTATTTTAGATATATGTATTTAATAGAGACAGGATGTATCTCTATTTTTGCTGACATGGCCAAGAGATTGGTTTATGTGCTAGGGAATTGAGCAAAAAAGTACATACATTAGGAATATTCGAGCCAGTCATCTCACTGTTGGAGAACAGAATAACCGATATAGAAAGGCAAGAGATCCAGTTAAGTGGCTTGAAATTGAAAGTGAAGATGTAAAATGATTTTGGATCCAAAGAGATTATAGATAGAAAGATAGAAGTGTATATGTGTGTGTATATGTTGATATATTTCCTAGGTTTGTCAACTGAGAAGGCCTAAAAGCAGTGGCACCCCAGTAGCAATGAACACACCTAACATTCAGACATTGGTTTCTTCATACCATCCTTCAATAAAAGGAACCAGGATTCCTTGGTGTAGTGGATAAAACCAGAATAATTTGTTCTCCAAGGAAATGAGAAAGTACTTAAAGAATTATGGAGACATGTCAAAAGAATATAGAAGTCAGCTTGAAGAGGTTCCTGTTGGCCAATCTTGGACACTTTAAGGTGTAAAATAGTTAATGACAATGACAAATTTAACCCTTTGATTAAAATAAGAATCCATCAGTCCATGCTGATAGAGAAAGGAACTCTATGGTAGAATGCAACTAATAAATGAAGAAGAAAAGATAGAATTAGAAAACCACCGTTTGGCAACCACCATCTTAATAATTGATTTGGGCCAGAATCATCAATAGCTACTAAAATTGGTGGATAAAATTTTGATGAGGAGCAGGATATTTCCCTAGTCTCAAAGTATATCTCTAAAAATGTTCATTAATACATTATTAATTATTAATAAGTACAGCATACTTATTACTTAACATGCAGCTGTAAATACTTGGGAGATATCATCTTCATCAACTGGTAAAATTTTACATAAATGAAAACCAGCAATGGGGCAAATCAGCCTTGTGCTGCATCTTGATATGATACGCCAAGAATGTAGTTTCATTTCTTATACATAAATATGTAAGTCAGGATAAAACATCAGAGAAATGCAAATTGAGAGAAAAATCAAGTAACTGGCCTGTACTCTTTAAAAATGTCAAGACTATGATAGTAAAGATTGTTCCAGATTGAAGGACAGTAAAGAGATGACAGCACTAAATGCAGCATGTGATCTTGAATGGGATCCAAAACGTATAAATGACTTTTGTGGCATACTCAGTGGATTCTGTGGATTTGATAGATTAAATTGGATAGTTGTTCCCCGCCCCCCCCCCCCGATGTGCTCAAGGTATATAGTAGAGTGTTCTTGTTTTTAGGGAGTATAAACTGAAATATGAAGTGGTAAAGGGATATCACATCTGCAACTTACCCTAAGAAGATGGTAAGGGAACCCTCTGAATAATTTTTGTACCTTTTGTAATTTATTATAACATTATTTCAAAATGAAAGGTTTACAAAAAAACATTAAAGTATAATTGTTTTCCTTACCAAATAAAAAAATTGTCTTCACTTTTCTAAAATGATCACCATGGGTTTCTTTAAGAATCAGCTCATGACTGGCTTTGCTAAAAATATGATTTGATCTATTGCTATATACAATAATGTGATTCAGCCCAATATTTTGTTCATGCACTCAGCAATTACTAATTAAGGGCACAGTGCATGCAAGGATCCTGAAATTCATCTAAAGTATAAAATGAAATAATATTTATAGGTAAAACCCTGACTCTTTTGATTACTTCATTATCAAGTGAGGAGTTGCAGGAAAGTGTGTAATAGAATCGATTGTGGTGTAGCTCTCAAAACGGGTGATAAATTGAACAGAATAATGGAAATGAGTTGGCAATTTCATTTCAATAACTTCATTGACAGGCCAAGGTAGAAAACTATTGTGTCAGTGCATTTTGTGCATGTATTGATAATGGTGGTTTTGGGGAAGATAATGAGTTTTGGGTAATGTGGCCCATTAATCAAGACATATTCATGACATTTGACAGCTGATGATACTTTTCTTAAAAATCCCACATTTCTTTTTTTTTTCACTTTTAAGTGTAGTCATTTTATGAGAGATGAGGACTCTTTTCTTTGCATTTTGGCAATAAAAGGAGAAAAGAGTCTGGGTCACTTTTGCTTCATGTAAAATCCTGAAAAAAAGCAAATGTCTGATTAGATATGTTAGAAAATGTTTCTTTCAAACAATGGCTCAAAGGGCACAGAATTGGTATCACCTGGGGTACTTATTAAAACTTAGCAATAAAGATTCTTGAACAACCAGGTGCAGTGGCACCACCTACTATCCCAGCTAACTCAGAAAGCTGAGGTGGGAGGATCAAGTGAGTCCAGGAGTTTGAATCCAGCCTGGACAACATCATGAAATCCTATCACTAAAAAATTAAAAATAAACAAAATTGGATCTGTTTCTTAAATATATGCTAATCGTTTCTGATGGTTAAAAAAAAAAGATTATTGAACTTCATCTGAGATCTAATAAGTCACAATTTCTAGTGATGGAGCTGGGGTATCTACTTTTGAACAAGAATTTGTGAATCACAGCCTGTGGTGTCCTTCCTTCATAGAATTCCCAGCATTTCTGTTACCACTAATTGCATAATCCCCTTCTCAAGAAGAGTGTATGGCAAGCAAGTTGATTACAGTGTAAAGTGGACCTTTTTATTCCTCTTTGCAATGTGAAGTGGATTTTTTCTATTTCCAGTATTAGCACTTGATCTACAGTTTTGAAAACCATGTGTCTGCAAATGAATGTGTTTATATCACAGTGCTAGAATAGATAGTTATGTTTCCAGACTTGGAAATAAAGCTATGTCAGAGTGTAATGCATATTTACAAAGTCCCATGCTTAATAATCAGAATGCAGGGATATGTATATGTACAGCCAATACATATGGAAACAAATCTACATCAATAATAACAAGTTTTTAAAAACCTTCACCAGGCCCAAAATGACCCTGGGATACTATTCACACCAATTGTTTGGACCAAGTTTCTTAACCTAGGCATCTCCTAGGCATTCTCATGCAC